TGTCCGATGATTCGTATTGATGAAAATTTTAATTTTTCTTCTTCTTCTTCTTTGCAGTATGTAAAAGCAACATTTTATATTTAGAAAATTTTAGGTTCCTTGAAATGGCATGCCTGACGAGTCCAATTTGCAATATTAAAAATCTCGTGTTTGCAATTCTATTGGGTTGGTATTTTTACTTACATTGTTCAATAAATTTTAACTTCTTTTCTAGTCTGTGATATCCAATAGATGACCCAAGTGATTACCCAATGGATATCACGTATTAACCCTTTGCACTCGAGAGGCGCCCTTCAGTCGCCATTTGATAAAACTTCGGAGCTCGATATTAATTAATATATCAAATTTTAAACAATATAACAGTGTGCGAGATATCGAAATTAAATAATTATTACACGATTTCTTACTTACTGCTCAACAAATATCATCAGCTTTGTAACAGAAAATTTTTCAGCTTGTGTCCTTCGTTAGCCAAAAAATCGTCGAGTGCAAAGGGTTAAAATTCGTATTGAACATTGTTATTAATTATTATAGTATTCTATGTGACTTGGAAAATTATTAATTGCAAATTGCCTGCGTGAAAACGTAAATATAACAAAATTCGCGAACTTTTGATCCACGCAATGTAAAAAGATTCGCCCCGATTGTTTCAAGCAATCATCCCCTCCGAGATATCGAGCGAGAGGTGCAAAGTGAAAGCGGAGTGTCGATGAAACGAAGCTTAAATACCCGATCGGTGCAAACCTGACTGGCGAAGGATAGCAAGCTGGGAGTAGCGCGGTTAAAGGGGAACGACGTTATTCATCGCTCAGGTAAACTTCCAAGCGGCTTTCCCGCCAGGCAATATTTGCTGCTGGCCAGCGCCGGCATCAATCGCGTCTGGTAAAAAGCTATTAAAAATTGCACAGGTGCCAGGTTCCACGCCCTCTCCGACCCGTAAGCCTGGACGCCTTTCATCCCTTTCATCGCCGACTCGGACGCGGCTCGACTGCGGCGAGTTTCGAAGACCTCGGGAAACCAACGTGAGAGCCAGGGACGACTTCACCGCGAATTTCTCGCGGAATTTCTCCCGGCTGGATTTGCACATTCGGCCAAACGACCCCTGAAATCTCCGATCGCTTCTTTACGACGTCCTAATGCCGCGTTTACAGTCCCGGAGACGAATCTCCGATGGGACCCGACTGTCCGCCATCTTAACACCCTGTTGCGCTAAGCGTGCCTCGCTGCTCTGTTTTTTCTCCGACTCTTCTTCTTTCAGCAACTCGCTTCTCTAACTTGCAACCTAAAGGCTGCTTCGGGTCGCGAGGGAAATTTCCCCTGACGGGAGCAAACGCGACGTTATTGGACAAAGTGGAAGCCGTGAAAGTCCTCTTCTCCTCTCGATTCGCGTGCTTGCTCCTTTTTCCCACGGAATAAACGCTCGCGACAGGCTAGATTTACTCAGCCTACGCGCGTTAAATTCCTCCTGCGGCCATGTTCCACGCTCCCGCCGCCCGCCATCTTGGTCTCCCGCGACTTAATCCGCTTTTTCTCAGACCCCGTGTCGCGTTCGTTCCGCTGCGAACGAGCACGCGAAACTTTCTGTTGGTTGGGATCGTTTTCTTCCGGGGAACAAGTCGTCGCGAACTTTCCGTGCACAATGGGAGAGAACGACCATCGAACGTGTTTAAAAGAAAATTTCGGAGAATGCTCGGTCGCGTGGAGAACGCGTGATCCGGTTCCGCGGAGATGTTTTTAAGCTGGCCGGGTCGGTGCACGGGGATACAAAGGAGGACCTGGCTCGCACACGGTTCTCCACGCTAGTCCGCGAAGTTAAAGGACCGCCAAGTTTTCACCACCGTAAAACCTTTGCTCTGCCTTGGGTTATTCTAATGCCGCCGGCACACTTTCCATTTAAAGCGCGATAAAACGGCGACAAAAAATTGCGCCGCAACTTTCCGAGGGTCGTTATAAAGGGGAGGCTTCTCTCTACAAATTCATTGTGAAAGGAACCGCGGGAGAAATTTATTAAGATCCGCCGAGTTGCTCGGATTTAGAAAATCTTGTAGG